AGCCCCCTGTCCCCGCAGGGGCGCCCGTGGCTTCTGAGCTGCGCTGCCAGTGCTTGCGGACCTCGCAGGGGATCCACCCCAAGAACATCCAGAGTGTGCAGGTGACGTCCCCGGGACCCCACTGCGCCCAAACCCAAGTCATGTAAGTGCCTGCCCTGGTCGCCCCAGACGCCCCCTCCCTGGCCCCAGCCCGCCCCGTCTCACCCGGACCCCCTTCTGTCCGCAGAGCCACCCTCAAGAATGGGCAGAAAGCTTGTCTCAACCCCGCGGCCCCCATGGTGAAGAGGATCCTGGAGAAGATGCTGAACAAGTGAGTTATGGGACCAGGGTCACTTGGGACAGACACTGGGGTCTGCCCCCTGAAACCATGCAGGGAAACCCAGGGTTAGCCGAAGGGGTGAAAAGGCATGATTTCACTATTAGATGTGTCATTAAGACCACTAATGCGCCCTGGTGCCGGAAGGCTATTTCCAGCGCCCTCCACCCCCATCAAATGGCTGTGGGTCCATGCGCCTTCCTAAGAGATTAAGTGCATTTGCCCAGTGATCTGAAATGCTTCCTGCCCGTTAAGGAGCAAACGCTGTTTATCTCGCTGGCTTCAGACAGGAAAAGTGGAGCCCCTGGTTTTGGACAACATGGGCCTCTGAACCTTAGTGGTGAACAGAAGGGACTTTGTAGGGATCCCTGCTCCTAATGCAAGTCTGGGCTCCACCTTTTATTTATTATCCCTGTAGTGGGGGAGAAAGTACTTAGTCTTTTTGAATCTCAATAATGTGGGGAAAATAATAATAGCTCCTCTATGGAGCCTGCTGTTAGGCTTAAGCGATGTCATGCATGTACTTTTTTGGTGTAACATTATTTTTTGAAGCTAATAATCCAGTTGTGACCTCAGGGCCCTTCTTTTTAATTAAACAGCATTTAGCAGCCCGGCATTTCCTGCCACCCAGGGCAGCAAGGGTACAGGTAGTGACCGCTTGGTCCAGGGCTATGCGGTCAACTTTCTGAGTCCCAATAAGCAACAATTTTCTCATCGCAGGGGCGGTGCCAGCTCGCGGAGGGAGCCGGAGGAGGCCGATGCCTCACTGTCGCATCCTTAGTGGAGCCAGCTGAACCAAGAGCCACAGGCTGCCGGGCCACCCAGACTGCGTTTAAGGAGTCGATTTCTTTTGAGAGTTCTATGCCTTTACATATGAATGTATTTATTTATTTATTTTTTAAAGCTCGTGTATGGTTAATGTTCTAATATTTAAAGACATGGAGGTGTTTGGTAATTTGCTGTACTGTTATTTTAAAGGGTCATTTTCCTGTTAAATCAAAGTTAGTTCAGCCCTGTTATTTAATTGAAGATGATGCATTTTAAATGTTCTTCATGCAACTAATATTTTTGGTTGGTGGGGTGAGTGGAAGACCACACCTTTCCACCCACTACAATGAAGGCCAGAGATAAATAGTGGGGGG